AGTCAAGTCAATCCTGTAAATCGTTGGCGAGAACAATGATGCACGTGACCAAAAGTGGTATAATGTTTGTTAGTCTACAAGGTGACGAGAGTTCAGGTAAAGGAGTGAATCAATGGTGAACGAGATTCGTCCGACTTGCGAACTTGCAAGTCCGAGCTGTGTAACTCTCCACTCAGTATCCAAGGGTGTTCTGAAGTCTCATCCCTCGTAAGCATACGTTTTTGTCATGGATCGTTCATTGTTCAAACTCATTGTCAGTCCATAGCTATTTCGATTGAGCAGTCATAACAATGGTCCCTACTTAGAAGGTAGCAGAATTCAATGAGCAATGGGGAAAACAATCATTGTTGTTGTCAGTGGGTCAGGGTCAAGGCCCCTCCCTCTGCCCCCCCTCTGGATCCGCCACTGGCCACGTTCAGGGTCAAACTAGGTCGTGTTTCACGTGAATATTATTCTACTTACATGGCAGTTTCAGCGTTTTGAAATACCGGCGACATTTTTTATAGTAGTCACAATTCTCGTTCAAGATGAATTCTATACTACTGAATCAGGACGAGTTTCAAGGTCCGCGTTGTGACTTAAACCATTCGGTGCTTGTAGTTGAATAACTATTTCGATCACATAGCTATGCAATGTCTAAAAATAATTCCACTGCATTTGTTTTGTATCCTGTTTAAAAGAGTTAAAAGCATTTTATGGGTATGACAACGTCATAAATACATGAGAAATACATTGCTGTCAGGCAACGCGGGAAAGATATCTACATTTTCGTAGAAACAGTGATACTGCCACGATAACAAGTGTTTGAGGGGTAAAACAATCATTAAGGAATTCGTAGAAACGTCCTGCTAAATTACAAATAACAAAACTCCGGGAAAGATACCTACATTTTCGTAGAAACAGTGACCATCCGAAGATAACAAGTGTCGCGGAGGTAATACAACCATTAAGGAAAGCTCAAAAACGTCGTGCGAAATTCCAAATAACAAAACTCCGGGGAACGATTGCTTGAGTGCCGAATTAAAAAAAAAAATGCTTTAAATCACGGATATGAAGACTGACAATTATTATTTAGGTATAACAGCATTTACATGGGAAATATATTGCTGTCAGGTTGGTGACAAGAACGTTGGAAACGATTTATAAACATAAATATCTGAACTCAAACGGTACTTATGAGGCGTACAATAAAAAATATAACGTACACTACTGAGAGCGGTGTTGTACTATTTTAGCGAATTGTAGTAAAATGACGTAATAGCGAAATGTTGATTTAGCGAATTGGGATTCTGCACATTGAAACATTGTGTGAAATTAGGTTATTCTCCAAGAATGCCGTCTTGTGTGTCGTATACTCCTTATTGTCGAACAGAAACACGTATAAGCGGCACTGCTCGGGCCGCCGATGCTGAACAAAGAAGCAGTTTACTGGGTCATTATTGTATTCAGTGTGTATATAAGGGGTTCATAACATGTAGTGGAAAAACCCGTGCAATATTTATTTTATGCTCGTCTATTACCGTTCGGGTTTTTTATTTACATGATAATGAGTCATGCTTATTCTCTATTTCATAGAATTGCTATATTTAGCCATGACGCCGTTAACGTTTCAGAAGAAATCGTGAGTAATACAATAATGCTATGAAGCCAACAAACTATTTATATTATCCACCAAAAATATTAACACGGCAATGTTGAATCGTTTACTAGAAACAAAATTTGGCATAATAAAACCGACGGTGTGCCCCGATGTTAATTAAAAGACTAGAAATATAAGGAGGGGCTACTATTACATGACTCTGCCTAGCGTATCAACGCAATTACCGCCACTCTTAATAACATAAAGCTGGTTATCGACAATACGTGTTATATAGTTGCCATTTATGTGTCATAATTTATAAAATTTAATAACGAGCATGCGATTATTTCAAAATGTCAAATTCATAATTTACAAAATTGTACGTAAGTTTTGAAAACCAGCATTGAATGTAGAATGTTTAGGTCAGGTCGACCTGAAAATAACAATAAACACAAGGCATTCGGGTTTCCAAGTTTAGAATTTATACGCGACATTGTTTCCATTATTAAAAATGGTTGCACTTTTTTATAAATTTAATCCGAGAATACACTTCACATTATGAAGAATCGGCAATTCCATTTACAACTTTGACGTTTCAATAAGCAGCGCCATCTTCGGTGACTATTCGTTTTTTTTTAAATAGCGAACAATATGAATGTAAATCAATTAACCCGCACACCAGTTCACATTTGTGATTGTCAACGAAAGAATGAGTACAAACTTTTTTTGCCATATCAATTATAATATGGACTTCGCACTCTTATTGTTATTGACCTTGTGGTACCAGTGTAGTCTAAACTGATAGACAAACACAGTAGACCTTGTTTGTTTGATGACACCTGTTGGTGCATGCTCTTTGAGACACGTAGTGTTTCTTCAGACTTGATAGAATATATATACTACTGTACATTACAGGTGCATCAATATAGAATGTTCGATGAACCATAGCATGCAGATGACGCAAATGAAAAGTACACTTTGTTTGAGCTTTCTACGTACAGCTGCTTTATGTTCCAAACCAGACTGATGTGGCATCA